ACTTCTTTCTAAAAATCAGTTTTTTGAAACGATTTGCCAGATTTGGACTCTTTGGTGATTCATCAATCTCGCATTGCACTTTGTGAGATCAGATTAAGAACCGCGACATTTGAGTCCGAGCTATAGTAAGCCCAATGAACAAAACGGGATTTTCCCGGGACGTTCGAGGACGTCTACAGTTTCTGGCGACTCCACTGGAGAGTTAGAGAACTTGACTCAAACTCATGATATTTTGTTTTGACTACACTTATGTGTTTCTTTGCATTGCATGTGCATTGGTGCACCTAGGACACCGTGTTTGCCATCTGTTCTTCCTGAACGGTTTGCTTGAGGCTCGCTTTGAGAAGCGTGCCATAAGGCTGACCGGTTACGGGCTCTGCCATGATGGGAACACAAACCCCGATTTTTACCGGCGTACCCTTTTGACCATTAGGCCTAGTGCATATTCGGAATCCATAGTGGCCATTCCAAGCTAGGACAAGTTGCTTACCCGATTATAGGTTGTTTGAAACCGTTGTGCGCATAGTGAAACCCTAGTTCTTGACGAAACTAGGACAGGAAAAGCCTACCCCTCCATAGGGGTGTTTTGGCTCTCACTTGTTTGCTATGTGCTTTTAGAGTGCGTCTCTACATGAATGCATGTATCAATTTGCAAGTCCGGGTATCAGGCCTACGGGCATTAGCATCAGTGTTTTGGGAATCAGTTATATCTGCGGGTATCAGATTCAGATTTGGGGCAGTAATTTGGGAACAATAATCAGTAGTTGAGAACAGTATATTCAACTTACAAATGTCAACTGTGTGTTGTCATACCAACTGTGTGTTGTGTTTATTTAAGCCGTTATGTTGTCCGTTTTCGGGTTGTTTATTTCATTATTATTCTTTATTTATTTTTTTGCTAGGTAGTTTAGCACAATTGCTCCAACCAAGCAGATATTCCCCAAGCACTTTGGACTAGAGGTCGCAGACTCCATCGATCTAAGGATCTGGTAGACGGACAACCAGTGTTCCATTCTCTACCCCCGGTTACCAGACGGAGGGCAGTTAGGTAGAGGATATCAGTTCAGCAGTCAGTAGAGAGGGCTTTGTCTACCCCGACCTGAGTATAGTAGGGATCAGAGTTCTGTTTCTCCCGCAGAGAGGGAACATACACCAGTAGTTTAGCTAGATCAGGACAGTATGGCAGTAATGGAGGAAATGATGCGTCAACTCCAAGAAAGTATGAAAGTCATGCAGCAGGACACTGTTTGTCAAGCCGAATTAGCCAAACAGCAGGCCGAGGTCAAGGCTTAACAGGCAGAGTTAATTGCCAGGCTACAACAACAAACCGGAGCATCGGCTTCACACCAAGCTCCTCAAGCTCCTCCCTCGCCAAGAGTGCCAATACTCGGGGAGGCAACTAATGTCCAGGAAGATATGGACATTCTAACAAGGCTGGCTCTGCCCCCGATCCTACCTCAACTATCCAAGGCACCCACGCCTATCAACCCACTGGATTCTCCCTTCGAGTTCGAAGTGGACCCCACATCATTAAAATTGGGCAAGCTTGAGAAGCTGTTCAAGAAATCTCAGGGTGTCAAGTCCATTTCAGATATTGAAGATGGGTACACTGACGTAGCCGTGACGCTGCCATGCCGCTTTAAGATGCCACATATTGACCGCTTTGACGGATCTGGGGATCCTATGGTGCATTTACGACAGTTTTTGGACATACTAAGACCAATGGGCCTCACCAGGTTACAGAAGCTTTCTTTGTTCAGTCAGACCTTGTCAGGTGTAGCTGCCAATTGGTATGTGAAGTTGGAGGATTCTGTCAAGAGGAGTTGGGAGGAGATGGCTGAGGCCTTCATAGCACAATACTCCTATAATACACAGATTAAGATTACAACCCGTGATCTTGAGACGACTAGGCAGGAGCTTAAGGAGATTTTCTCTGATTTTGTGACTCGATAGAGAGCCAAGGCCTCAATGATAACCATTTGGCTGACTGACAAAGATCAAATACGGATGGTTGTGCGCAACCTCCAGCCTAAGCTTATGCAGAAAATGATCGTCCTCCCTCTCCCCACTTTTGCAGATCTTCATGAAATTGGTGTGCAGATTGAGGACGCCTTAAAGCAGCGTCTGATTGACAGTGATAGAGAGCAACCCAGGAGGACGTTCAACCGCAATGCAAATGCAGGCACAAGCAGTGCTGCAAATGCTACAACCTCAGAAGTAAGCATGGTCACCACCACTCCCCTAAGAGCCCTTGCAGCCACCAAAGAGGACTGGGTGAGGAAAGGCAAGGAGATGGCCGGGAGAGCCAGAGCAAAGCAGGCGGGGAAACCTTTTGAGTTAATGCACCGACCCATCCAGGGTACCCTAAACGGACGCTTAGCCCGAGAGGAGGAGGATTTTCCATTCTGCGGCTTCCCAGAGCCATGGTTAAATGTAGAAAAGTGCCGCGTGCCAGGGTTTGAGATCTTCTTCGACCTGCAGTTATCCGGGGATGATGTTGCCGAGGAACAGACAGACCCATCAGCTGAGATTGAGCAGTGTGGGAAAGTGGATTTAGAGAACACCGAAATTGAAATGGGGGAAGAGCTGGCTTGTGTACTTTCAGATCCTCCAATCGTACAGAAATGCTTGGGGGATAACTTCTCGGTGTCCATGATCAGGAATGAAATGGCTGCGAGCCCACCTTCAAACATTTTGGACGCATCCACCGCACCCTCTCTCATTTGGCAGTACGAGGAGGGATTTTTGTTAAGCAGCCCCGGGTCAGGTAGTGAGCCGGAATCTGATTCCACCGAGTCTGTGGAGTCAGAATCAGGTTCCAGCTCGTCTGAGTCTGAGTCCGGTATTACTGGGGGTAATGACCCGGATGCCACCGTCCTGTCTAGGTCGTCTTTTTCTTTCTCTTTTGAGTCTGTTGTAACAAAAGAATCAGACGATTTGGAAGTTATTAATGGGAATGGAATGGCTGTGGTTTCTGAGTACTTTTCTGTGCCTTTGATTTATTGTATTAATCAGGACTCTCAAAATTTTGATGAAAACGATGCGGAAGAAATTCCTCCGGTTGTATAACGATTAATTAATCAAGAGCATGAAAGATTTGTTAAACCTTTGGTTGTTGAAATCACTATAGTTAATGTTGGAACTGAGAAGGACCCACGGCTGGTCCAGATCGGGTCCACGTTGTCTTCGGAGGAGCGCGAGCGCTTAGTCGCTTTATTAAAAGATTTCAAAGATGTTTTCGCGTGGTCCTACGAAGACATACATGGAATCGATCCTGAGATTGTACAGCACCGGATCCCTCTTGACCCAGAGGCCCAACCGTTAAACAGAAACCCAGAAGAATCCGCCCGGACTGGGCTCTCAAGATCAAAGAAGAGGTCACCAAGCAAATTGACGTAGGGTTCTTGCTGGTATCTGAGTACCAGACTTGGTTGGCCATCATAGTTCCAATGCCAAAGAAGGATGGCAAGATTCGTGTGTGTGTGGATTTCAGTGATTTAAACAAAGCTAGTCCGAAGGACGACTTTCCTTTGCCACACATCAACGAGTTAGTGGATTTCACTGCTGGGCATGCGCTACTTTCGTTCATGGATGGATTCTCAGCCATGCGCTGCTTTCGTTCATGGAAAATCCCGTCGGTAGAGGTTGGGTTACTTGAATTGGGACAATTCATTGAAATCTCTATTTTAGCCTACTTGCGAGTAGCAAACTTCAAACCATTTTTTTTTGAACAAACGGATATGCAATGCTTTGTTCCAAATCAAGCGATCTAGTCTATACTTGTATGCTGTGCGCATCACATAGTAATTCTTGGCTAATAAACTGGAATAAGAACGCATGTGTTCTCAAAAACAAGATATCATGTTTAGTACTGGCCGATCTTTGATCGGGCGAGCGGGGGTGCTCATTGCATGACCTTCCCCAATCGTACCCATGTTCCCGAGTTGAGGCAACTATGGTGGTGACGGACACGTGGCCTTAGGCACGAGTCAGGGTTTCCTAAATTCCCCCAAAATAAAATATTAGATGGCGACTCTTTATCGGGCAAAGCAGTCCATGTTTGGCACTTTTTTTTCTAAAAATTAGTTTTTCAAAACGATTTGCCGGATTTAGACTCTTTGGTGATTCATCAATCTCGCATTGCACTTTGCGAGATCAGATTAAGAACCGTGACATTTGAGTCTGAGCTATAGTGAGCCCAATGAACAAAACGGGATTTTCCCAGGACGTTTGGGGACGTCTACACCGACTAATGGAACTACCGCTGAGGTGAGGTCTTGCTAGAAGAGACCCAGCTTTCTAAATAATTCATAATATAATATGTCTGCTGCACTACCTTGATCTACCAAAACTCGTTTTACGTCAAACCGTACAGTTATAATCAGTGCATCAGTATGTCGGTGTTTTATGCCTTCTAGGTCCTTCCGAGTAAACGAAACAGTGCGTAAGGAGGATTTGGGTGCTGTGCATACCTTTTTCGATGCGGGTTCTACTGACATGACTTGCTGAATTTGCACATCCTTAGCAATCTCCTCTTTCAATGCTTTTTCGCGTTCCTGAGTCGTTGTCCAATGGATCACATTTATTATTAGCCGAGGTGGGTTCTCGATGTTCGGTTCTAGTGGCGGTTTCCACTGCTTGGCCACAACTTTATCCTGACCAATGTAGTCCCTGAGATGCCCAGCTTCTACTAGGTCTTCCAAGTGCTGCTTCAGTGCTCTGCAGTTCTGGGTCATATGCCCCCTGTCTTGGTGATAGGTGCATCTGAGCTTCTAATTACGCCGAGTCGGATCTCCCAACATTTTCGGCGGCCAAACAAAGAAAGGTTCTCTCTTGATCTTTTCCAAGATACGATAGATTGGCTCTTTGAATACGGTCACCACTGCTTCGTGAGATTTGGATTTTTCCACCTTATTCACTGGGAGCCCCTGGTGTTCCCCTCGGTATGTTTTCTTCTTGTGCTGAGCTGTTTGTTCTGCTGACGCTACCTCAATAGGGATCTAGTCGTCCTCGAGGCAAGCGTACTGCTCAATCCTGGCACTCAAATCTTTCAATGCCGTGGTCAGGCAGTTGGAAAGTGACTGTCTCAACTTACTTTCCGGGCACAGGCTATGTTTGAAAGGCATAACAACCATTTGCTCACTGCATACGTTTTCGTCCAGGTTATTGTACTCTTCCCAATATCTCCTAGCATAACTGCGCAGCATCTCTTCCTGCTCATTTTGAAGACCGAACAGTGTATCTGGCTCTTTCGGGATCTTTGTGTTGGAGACAAACCTGGCTAAGAACTCTTCGGAGAGCTGCTTCCAGTCATAAATTGATCCAGCGGGGAGTCGATCGAACCGTCGAAGTCCGGTTTCTCCCAAACTGGATGGGAAGACTTTGCACATCAGCACCTCATCTCGGCTCCATAGAGACATCATCTGTCTATAATGGCTAATATGCGTCAACGCGTTCGACTTCCTATTGTACGACATAAACTTTGGCGGAGTGAATTTCTTTGGAGGTCTCATGGCCTCAATTTCTGGGGAGAATGGGGAGGAGACAAGTCTATCTAGCGTTCGGTGCTCTCTCCGGTGAATGGTACGGTCCAGATGATCTAGGCGTTGTTCATTCTTCTTGTTGCCAATCAGCCAAGTACGAAGGTCCTGAGGAGGGTACTCACTTTATTGGCTAAGCGTCTTCTACCTCGTTGCCCTTCTCCGGTGTGACCCACGGGTTTGGCTGCTTGCCGCCTCACTTTGCATAGGGATTGGCTGGCTCTGCTGCCCGAACTCATTTCTGGGAAATTTCTTCACTGGTGGTTCCCTGTCGTAGGCGAGAGGGCTCTGCTTTAGTCTTCTTCTCCGTGGGATCACCCAGCACCCTTTTGAGTTGCGCTTTCAGCTCTTGTATCACCATTCCCATGGAGTTTGTGATTCGATCTCTATAATCCTTTCCCAGAAGAAAATGATGAGAATAACCTCTAGCGAAGGGCAATCGATGCTTGACGGACTCGGGGATCCGGTTATTGTTTCCAGTTTGTTCTTCTAAGACTGTTGGGAGTGCCAAGCCTTTGTTCTTTGTCTTCTTTGTCTGCGGGGTATGTGTCGAAGATGGGACGTCCTCAATCCCCATTATCGGAACCGAGTACAGAACTTAGAAACAGAGTGTCCACGCTCACCGCACCAATTGTGCGTACCGGATACCGCACTAGATGAAAGTGGATCAGAGCTCTGCACTCGGTTGGACTATCCAAGGATTGTGGTCCCTGCAGAGAGAAGCACCGTAAGAGCTGCCCGGCTAGGGTTGGCCGGATAACCCCTTCGGTGTGGGAATCAGAGATCGGAGAAGAGTGTTTAGTTTGTAGTAAATGTGGTTCAGCTTAGATCAGTTCAGTTACCTTCAATGTGAAGTTTGTGGAGTATATATAGAGTTGCTTGCTTGTTTTGCAAGATGGTTTCATGGAGCTTTGGTGCTGCCCAATTTCCTTTTACTATGGCCTTCGGTGTGGGACCATTTGGTAGTTATCAAGAGGTGCTTATACTCATTGTTGTCATGTTGATAACAAACCACATTCCTCTGGTTTAACTGTTTCTGTGATTCGAGGTGTACGGGACTAGCTGAGGTGGCAACTTGCACATGCATATACCCACAGCTTCTACGTTTCTCCAAGAGGTTTCCTCAGCTCGGTACTGTTATGCCTCGGCCTAGTTTCATTGCGCCTCAGCTTGGCCCTTTGCAGGACTATTACAGAGATGGGCTGGTCCACTCAGATTTCCTTGTCTGGACTCGGCCCACCTTGGTGCTGGTGATGGATTCGGTGCATCAGTTCAGCCCCTGGATTGAGTCTTGCAGCTCGCCCCAGCCCAGTATCTCGGTTGGTCTGGCCTTTCCACTGTGAGTTGGGCCCAAGTGCTTGTGGACTTGGGTGGACTGTTGATAGTGAAGTTGGGCTTAGTTGCCTTGCCCACACGTTCGTCCGACCCATTCGGGTTTAGAAGGTTGGACTGGCCCAAGGCTTGGATCAGACCCATTTCATATTTAGCCCCTTCAGGTGTGTCATATACAAGTTATTATTAGAAGTATGAAATGTACAATATATAAAAAATGAAAACTTTAGTTTTTTGGTAGATTACAAAACTTCTGTTAAGATAAATCAAATACACTTTAAGTTCTAATGCTAACTGTGTGCCGAATGGCTTGATCTGTCCCATTAGTCTGGTAAATTATCAAAAATTCCTATTGACCATATGTTTTAGGGCAAATTACGACGGTTGTCGATGTATTTTAGTTTTTGTGTTATTTTAGTTCCCATAATCTAAACTAGCTCGACTTTGACATTTTTTTTTTATAGATAGGACTCGACTTTGACAATGAATTTACAATTTTGTCTCAATTTGGTTCAATTGGTTACAACTCTTAGCATTTTTTTTAATGAAAAATATGCAGAGTGTTATATGTCATATTTTTAAGGGTAAAACTGTAGACTTATCAAATTTAGTAAAGTAATCTTAACCAATTTAGTGATATTTTTTTTTTAAATATACCAACAATATTATCAACTGGACCAAATTGACGCAAAATTTAAAATTAATGGTCAAAATTGGGTTAATTGTAAGTGTAGGGACCAAAATGACAATAGATAAAATATAGGGACCACTGGAGTAATTTTCTCAATGTTTTATCCAAGGCTTTAACCAACAAAATAGATTCACATAGTTCTGGTATATGAAGGGGCTGAATATGAAATGGGTTGGATCCAAGCCTTGGGCCGGCCCAATCCACTAAAGCCCAAATCCAAGTGGGTTAGATGAATATATGGGTAAGTCAATTGAGCCCAACTCCATGATCAACAGTCTAGCCAAGTCCTCAAGCACTTGGGCCCAACCCGCAGTGGAAAGGCTAGTCCAGCCGCGATGCTGGACTGGGCCGAGCTGCAAGACCTAATCTATGGGCCGAACAGAAGTGGGCCGAGCCCATCCAAGGATATCCGAATGGACCAGCCCATCTCAATAGAAGCCTCATCTATGGCTGAGCTGGGGCACGAAGGTACCGAGCTGAGGAAACCCCTTAGAGAAACGTGGAAGCTATGAATGCATGCAAATGGATGATGCCACCTCAGCTGGTCCCCTACACCTAGAATCACGGAAGCTGTTAAACCAGAAGAATATGGTTTGTTATCAGCATGACTACAATGAGTATATGCATTCAATGACAACTACCAGGTGGTCCCCCACCTTGGGCAATGTTAAGAGGATATTTGGCAGCACTTGAGCTCCATGGAACCATCTTGAGCAACAAGCAAGGAACCCTATATATACTGCATGAACTTCCCATTGAAGGTAACTGAACTGATCCAAGCTGAACCTCACTTACTTACAAACTCAACTCTCTACACTTCTTCTCCGATCACTGATTCCCACACCGGAGGGGTTATTCGGCCAACCCCGACAGGGAAGCTCTTACCTTGCTTCTTGTTGCAAGAACCTCAATCCTTGGATAGTCCAACCAAGTGCGGAGCCCCGATCCACTTTCATCTAGTGCGGAATCTGGTACGCACAATTGGTGCGGTGAGCGTAGATCACTTTTTCCCTAAGCTCTGCACTCAGTTCCGGCGATGGGGATTGAGGACATCCCACCTTCGACACATACTCCACAGATGGAGAAGACAAAGGACAAAGGCTTGGCACTCCCAACAGTCCTAGAAGAACAAACTGGAGATAATAATCGGACCCCTGAATCCATCGAGCATCGATTACCCTTCCCTGGATGTTGTTCTCATCACTTTCTTCTAGAAAAGGATTACAGAGATCGAATCATAGACTCCGTGGGGATGGAGATACAGAAGCTAAAAGCGCAACTTAAAAGGGTGCTGGGTGATCCAACGGAAAAGAAGACTGACGCAGAGCCCTCTCGCTTGCGACGGAGCAGCTCATCCAGAGAGCCACCAATAAAGAAGTTTCCCAGAAATGAGTCTGGGCAACAAAGCCAGCCTATCCCGGTATAGAGTGAGGCGGCTGTAGACACCCCATTTTGACCGGCCCTAAGACTTGAGCACTTTCTTTTGATTATCCGATGATGACAATTAGAATGTGTTTCTCACAGAATTCTCAATAAGAGAGATGGAATTTCAACTTTAATCTCAACCTTCACCATGATGGCTAAATTGTTTTAAACTACTAAATATTTTATTAGTTTATCATTTTGTAATTTTGCATAATTTCATGTGTTTGTTCATATTTTTGGTGTTTTTATATAAATTTGTATAAATTATATATTTGATATATATAAAAGAAAATAATAAAACAAATTATATTATGTGTTTAATATTATTATATTATATGTTTAGTATTTTGGTATAAATTATATATTTTATATATTATTATAATTATATTATAAAAGAAAAATAATAAAAAAATATATTGATGTTGGCATGCCGACATCAATTCAATCAATTGAATGCATATAGATTATATTAATATAATATTTATATTATTATATTATTATTATTATATTATAATTTGCCTATATAAGGCAATCAATGGCTCAGCAAGTTTGAGAATGAGGAAAGAAAAAGAAGGGGAGTCTGAAGAAAAAAAGAGGGGAGAGGCCCAACAGAGAAAAAAAGAATGGGAGGATCAGGGAGAAAAAAAAAAGGGGAGGAAGTGGTGCGAGAGAGTTTGAGAAGAAAGAGAGGGAAAATAAAATGTTTTCTTTGATATTTTTATTTCTATTTCATCAATACACCATTCAAAAACAAAATACTAAAGCTGTAATTCCAAATTTTGGACTGAGAATCGAGAACACATTCCACAGACTTGAGAGTAATCAAAAGAAAGTTTGTGACTCAGAAAATTCATCATTTCCCCAAAACGTGAGTTTTCAGAAATTTTCATTTAATTTAAAAATGTGATATAATTTGTTTAAATACTTCATTTACTTCTTTTCATAACTGTTTTTTTTATCGCTTTAATGGGATAGCTGCACCACCCACATATCTGCTATAATTTAAATATTGTATATAAACTGTTGTAATTTATTACTTTAAATAATCTACCCCACCAGATGAATAGTAACCTCAGGTGGTGAATAGTAACCTTCGGTGGTGAATAGTGACCTCGACGGTGAATAGTACCTCCGGCGGTGAATAGTACCCCCGGCTATTTAATTTTACTCGCTTTCTGTAGCTTAATTTCAGCACAATTATATGCTATTTAGGGGTCTGTTTAATTTATTTCAATGATTTATGTTTTAAATATCAAGTTTGTTTGTACTAACCAATTAATCAATTTCACATAATCATCTCCGCAACCTCCCTCGATTCTTTGCTTATTTCGATTAAAAAGTTGTGAAAAATTAAGATTGTGGTTCAAATATAAGAAAGGAACTCTTCCATGCTTAAGATCATAATCTCCTCAGAGGTTCATTACCAAAAGTATAAAATGCTCTATGCTTAATAGTTCAATCTCTTTGGAGATTCATTACCAAAGGCATAAAACGTTTTATGCTTAAGAGGTTCATTACCAAAAGT